GCAAGGATGTAGCCAAAGCAAAACATATAAGCTTAATTAGTCCAAACGATTGACAGTCTGCAAAAATTTGGCTTGCAGTAAACACTTTTGAAATGGTGTCACAAGACTAGCATTTACAAGAAAAGAAAAGATGAAGAGAAAAAGCACATCATCAGCAGACCAATTGTTACTTAACCCACTCCAGTTGTAGTCAAATCTTATGTTACTAGAACATCGATAACCGAGAATAGTAAGTATGCTACATGCTCATAAAAATGTGCTGCAATAAGTCAAACTGTATAGATATTACTCATTAGAATTTGGAAGTACCTCTAGAGAGATTACATCATTAGATTCGGCATCCACTTCACAATCATTTAATCCATCATAAACCATACATCTCCAGCCTCAAATCAAAGATAAGATATATACATGAGACATTGGTCAAATACTGTGGAAATTTACTGATGAGGCTAAGATATTACCAATAATTTTTTATTATTTTGTAACCCACAACAATAATTAACTTAATTTCATCTTGTTATTAATAAGTAATAATAGGTCTCTCAATATAAGTATATGCTATTACTTCACACAAGTCAGTTCTACTCACGAAACCACCCTGTCTAACGCAACAGACAACCAACTAAAATTTCATTAATAATCGGAGCAGGTTAACCGCTTGATCCTCACAAGAAAATTGGTCACTTAACTTAGTTTGATTTATTTATTCAAAAAAAAAAAAAGAAAAATGGGATCACTTTAACTCCCTATCATCACCCTTACTGATCCATAATTCTAAAACTCAAACATATGTTACAACACCAACTCCCCATTCACTGAAAACACCAAGGTCAGTCACTAATGAGGAGTTAGGAAAAACCATAACCAAGAGCCCAAACAAGTGACCACCCATAAGCCTTCAAGGCACCACCATTGACCTCTCCTGTCTCTCACTCCATGGTTCCATAGCATGCAACATAAATTGTCAAATCGGATGGAATCGTGAATTGTTAAGGATTTTGTCACTTTCGTCTAGAAAAATCACTTAGAAAATAAAATGTTTGACGCTCATAACTTAGAATGTTAAATATATCTTATAAAATAAAAATATTAGACTTAAATCAACTGAAAAGGTTTTGAATGATGATCATGTGGCCTGTAACAGTGTAAAAACTATACAGATCTCAGTCCTATTACCTTTTCCCTTTTCTTAATATTTTTATCAACCATTCTCTTCAAATAAAAATAAGCAATAAAAAATTCAAATAATCTCTCAAAAATTCATAGTAACCAATAAATTTAAAACAACGTGCGTTGATATTTGACAATAAACATACATATATTCCAAGTAAACAATAACCATCATAATAAGAAAGATTTTATTGGAATCCTTTATTTTAAACCTAAACACTGTAAATAGAAGTATGCATTATTATTCAAAAATAATTTTTTAATATATTTATAAAAAAGATTGTGCTGGAACCATTAATTTAAACTGACATACCCATGCGAATACTTAACTATATGTTATTTCAATAAAATATTAAAAAATTAATTCATGATGTAAGTTAATTTTGCACTTTAAAAACATCTTTAAAAATAATATATCATGTTAATTTTTTAAAGAAAAAAAAAAAATGATGAAGAAATATTTTAAAACATATGGGATTTTAACTGAATCTAATGAGTCCCTATTAAAAAGTCCTATACCACCTATAATAACAACAAATCATGTAATATATATTGCGTATTTTCTATTAAATATTATTAAAAGTCTATTATTCATTTCACTATAAAGAGAGGGGAAAAAATCGAAATACGTCAAACACAATAGTTTCAAAGATTGAATCGAAAGAGGTTGGCTGGTGGCAAGCCTTCGGTCTTGGGGGGTCCTCATCCAAATTCAAGGATTGGAACCTTCTTAAGTCCTAACAATTTCCTTAGGGCCATCGGACTGAGGGGAAACCCTTCGAACTAACCCTGGTGCGACTGCTAAGTCAACTTACTCGCCTCTGTCGAGGCCTATGCATCTGCTCGGATTAGTCCGACTATATTTGACACCCTATCCAATTATAAAAAAAAAAATAGATTAACGTATATGATTTGTGTCATATTGCATAAAAATGATACTCGAATCGTGATTTCACTAATAGATTCACCTCCTTAAAATAGATTTACCTATACTTTGTATCCACTTATTGCATAATTGCAAACGAATGCCGTGAATCGAAATCGCACATCGTAAGATTCTGAAACAGTCTGCTGCAACCATTCACAACGGCCACACAATCTTCGGCACCACCAACGCAAAATTTGACTAAAGAATTTAATACAGAGGCCATGATCATATAAATATAAATATGTATAAAAAAACATTCGTAATATGTACAACTTATTCCCTTTCATCCTAACTCAAAATCACTAGAAAAACAAAGGTCATCGAAAATCCTATTGCTGGAAGTTCCTCTCGCACCGTTGTCACTAATTTTGTCTGCTAGAATGCCATCGTCGAACCTCTCTGTTCAGTGCAATTTCTCAACCCTCTCAAACTCTCCAGCTCTCTCTCTTTAACAACTGGAAATGAGGATAAGAATACAAGAGGGCACCCTAGCTGTTGTAGAAATGATGTTATTGTTAAAAAAAAATATAGTATGTATTATTGATTGACATGTTGATATTATTGTACATTTTGTTATATTACAAGGATGTATTATATAGGAGAAGTTTTGGAGTAGGGAAGGTGGTCATGGTAGTGTAGGTGGAGTGTGTATAGGGGTGGTAGGGTGGAGTGTGTGAGTGGAGGTGTAGGGAGATTTAAATATTCTAACAAGCCCCCGCAACTCAAGAGGATAGAAACTAACCAACTTGAGTGTTGGAGAGGAGTTACAAAAAAAAAAAAATACCATAAAAATAAAAGAGATAAGAGACACTGTATGGTCGTGTCCAGACCATGTGAAGACACTGAGATGTGGTTGTCAAAACTTGAGAGACACTGTATATGAGTGTCATAACCCATGTAGAGGACACTGTATGTCGTGTCATACTGAGTGTAGAAGACAGTTTATGGGCATCTGTCGTACCGCTGTAAAGACAGTTTACGGATGTCATGTTCGGACCCGTGTAGCAGACAGTTTACGAGGTTATCGCGACCGTTGTCAGCAGACACTCATGTGACAGTTGTGGTGACAGTTACGGAGTCTTGCTGGACCCTTGAGAAACTAACCGGAATCCAAGTCGGGACAGTTTACAGATCTTGTCGGACCCTTGTCACGAAACTAAAACCGGATCTATGCAGGACTAAGTTAACAGAGTGCTTGTCCGACCCAAAAGGACTAACCGGACTCCAATGTCGGGACAGTTTACAGAGTCTTCGACCCATTAAAGGGCTAACCGGAATTCAATTCGGGACCAGTTTACAGATCTTGTCGGAACTCCTAAAAATTATCGCAATCCTCAAAAGAAAGGCTGCGCCCAATTTTTCAAAAGGCGTCATAAAGGCGTGCCCAATCATCAAAAGGTGATGCCGGACATGATGGCGCAGGCACGTGGCGCTTGGCTTGCGCGCCTGTTGTCGTCTGTCGCAAGTGCGCGCCGATGCGCGCATCGGCCCTGGCTAATTTAACCAAGTGCAGCAGAGCCTGTGCCACAACCCAGTTTCGAAACCCTCTGAATTTTGGCGTCTGACACTGTTGAAACCCTGCGCTGAAACACTGCAGCAACCCAAAACATGGCCTCGTTCGTCCCGTGTCCAGAAACTACCCAGAACCTGCTACACGCTCTTTCCAGAACTGAAGGAGCCTACAAGAGAAATTAATGGTACCAGTGTGGCATGAACCTCAACAAATACCTCTGGTTTGCTCCATGAACTTTCCGATGCGGTCGGGTGAGCACAAAAATGGCGGTGCAAAACTGAATATTTGGGTGAGCTAATCACGTATCTCTGAAGTCATGCTGAAGGCATGTGTGGAAAGCATGACGGCGGTCACAAATTTGTCGAACCGGCTGCAGAGTAGGACAAATGAGGTGCAGCATTTAAACTCCCAGCTGGCTCTGCTCCAACGCATGTATAAGGATGCGCGAGCAGAGATAAGCGTGCTAAAGGCAGAGAATAAGGAGCTGAAGCGGAAGGCCACCGTGATGTTCCGATTTGGAGGTCCGCCATATGCTGCAGTGGAGGAGCAGGGGGGAGTGAATGTGCTTGGTGGATTAGAAAGCACAGAGGCAGCACCGTCAAGAACAAACCACCAAATCTCATCTCTGTATCATTGAGATCCCATTGGAGAGGAGTGTTGGTTGAGGATGAGGATTGGTCAGTGACGGTCCAGGCGTGGACCCAAGAGATGGAACTGGTGTGATCGCAGCCCTCGACGAGGACGGTTGATCCGAAGGAGGCGAAGGACTGGGGGACGAATTTGAAGTCGTTGATGTCGGAGCCAGTGAGGAGGCGCATCATAAGCTGGTGGAAAGAGGGCCATGGAACCACCACTCGAGGCCGTCAGCTAGACCTGTGTCGGCCTCTCTTTTAAAACCTAAACCCCTGTCGTAGCTCTTCGAAGAAGCTGTTTAAACCCTATGGCCATGGCTATGAGATTAGCGGCGGCGAGAGTGGCTCCGGCTGGGCCGCTTGGCTTAAGAACTGCGTTGTTCTCGACTCTAACTTTATCTTCGCCGTTCGTTCCACCGCCGACTAATCAAGCCGAGAGGCCTCCTCCAGCTGAACCCTCCACCAACCTCTTCGTCTCCGGGCTTAGCAAACGTACTACTACAGAAGGACTTCGAGAAGTCTTTGCAAAGTTTGGTGAAGTGGTCCATGCTAGAGTAGTGACTGATCGTGTTTCTGGATATTCCAAAGGCTTTGGTTTTGTAAAATATGCTACTATAGAAGATGCTGCAGAAGGTATGTGTAGAGGTCCGGCGGGCGGCCAAGGCGAGGCTGCCGCCCGCCGGTGAAGCAGAATAATTAAGTTGTTAACCTTGCTCTGATACCATGTAAAAAAAAAATAGATGTATTATTGATTGATGTTGATTGATTATTGTACATTTTGTATATTACAAGGATGTATTATATAGGAGAAGTTTTGGGAGTAGGTGAAGGTGTAGGTGGAGTGTGTGATAGTGGAGGTGGTAGGTGGAGTGTGTGATAGTGGAGGTGGTAGGTGGAGATAAATTCTAACATATATATACACTCAAATTAGGTTATGCAAAATTCTCAACCTATCACAAGATTGTTAAAATTATAGAGATGGCCCCAAGCTTCCCAAAATCTTAAAAAAAAAAAAAAAAAATTTACCTAAATCCCACTAAAGTTGTTTATTTATAAATATATATCTATATATATAACCCTTTATGCCACTAAGTCAATTTCCCGTTAGTCAATCTAATGCCAAATAAATATTTTCCCCAAAAATCTCGCCAATAAAATGTGCACATTTATGACCATTTAACAAGGTGGTCATTATTAACGCGAATAGTTGTCAAATCGAGATTCAAATAGTGAATTGAAATGGCCTTGTACCGAATCGAATGGAATTGAATTATAAATCGTAAAGATTCAGCCACTTTTTCTAAATTACTTGGAAAAATATATCTTCATACTTAGATGTTAAACATATCTTATAAATATGAAATATTTACACTTAAATTAATGAAAATGCCATTTTGAATGATGATCATGTGGTCTAATAGGTAAGAAGTTAACACGGGTTCTTGTGTAAGATCACTATCACACCTCATAGGACCCAAGTTTCTCCTATCGTGACAAATACCTATTCATTTTCTTCTCATTTTGCTAGCCGAACAAAAATATATAAATAAATTTAGCTTCTTTCATTTCATTTTCTTTTCCTATCTTTTCCCTTTTATTTTCCTTTCCATCTCAAAATTAGAATCCAAACATAGCATAAAAAATAGAAGGTAATTCTACAATGCCAACAATACAATATCTTATGAAAAAATCATTATGCATCTTTAGTTAACGTCATACTATGTTTGGATGCCCTGAATGAAGAAGGAAAATAGAAGAATCTTATCATTGGGAATGCAATATCAAACAATCTGATGCCTAAAATAATCTCATTCAAGTGTTTGGATAATTCCAAAACCTTTTCCATGACAAATAAAATAAAATAGATTCAAGTGTTTGGTTTAACCTTTTCATTGTCCAAAACACTCTTTGTTCATCACATAGTAGAAAGAGAAAGATGGAGAGACTATAATAGAAAGAAAGAGAGTGTAAGGGTCTCTATTTTATCAAATGCATATGGCTTAGCAAACCCTGTAGCTACCTATCTTTTTCCCTCTACAAAATCAAGATCCAAACATAGCATAAAAAAATAGGAAGGTAATTCTCAAAAAGCCAACCATACAATATCTTATGAAAAAATCATTATGCTTCTTTAGCTAACTTCATTCTTTGTTTGGATGCCCTAAATTAAGAAGGAAGATAGTGGAATCTTGTTATTGGGAATCCAATACCCAATAATCTAATGCCTGAAATAATCTCATTCAAGTGTTTAGATAATAACAAAATCTTCTCTCTTTTTTTTAATAATTGAGAGTTCGGGCCAGCTTGTGCGCACCTCGACTAATCCCAAGGCCTTGAAGTGAACAATTAAGTAAACTTCCAGGTGGCCCCTTGGAGTGACTCGAACTCGAGACCTTGGATCTTATCCTCAAGTCTTTACTGCTCAGTCAGCTCCTTGGGGTTGGACAATTCCAAAATCTTTTCCGTGAAACATAAAATAAAATATATTCAAGTGTTTGGTTTAGCCTTTTCATTGTCCAAAACACTCTTTGTTCATCACATGGTACAAAGAGAAAGAGAGATTGCAATAGGTAGAAAGACAGTGTAAAGGTTTCTATATTATCAAGTGTATATGGCTTAGCAAACCCTATAGCTACTTGTACTAAAAACACAAGTAATCTTTCGAAATGCTTATCTTGCATATTCTTGATAAATCAGCCTTTATGGCAAGAATTTTGATGAGGGAATTAAAATAGGAAAGTGATCCTTAATTACCTACTCAAACTTTCCCAAACTAAGCAAAAATCTAATTTCACACTCCCAACTAATATCAAGAAGGAATTCATGCTCTTTTTGGTTGAGTTTTCAAAACTTGTTTTTTGAATTATTTTTTTTTTTTTTAAATAGAAACTACTTTGACAAAAATAAACACCAAAAAGTTATTTTTGAATTTTCAAAAATTATTTCTGTCCCCAAAAAGAGAAAATCATATAAAAATAATGAGATGTTTCATAATGTTTACAGTTTACTATTTTGTGTTTCCAGGAAACAATAAACATGTTTGTATTTATTTTTAAAGGAACATGTTTAGTAAATTTTGTGGTTACAAGAATTTAGTAAATTTTGTAAAGAGTTTACAAGTTTTTTAAAACAAAAAATAGACATCATACGAGTTTTTGGTTATAGATTTCAATATTTTTTGGAAATATAAACAAACATAAAAAAACTATAAAATAACGTTACCAAACAGGCCTTTAGTGTTTTTCATTTTTTAGTTTTTCACCAAACTAGTTTTTGAAATTTTTTCAAAAAACAGACTTTGAAAACACAACCAAACAAAGCCTCAACCTCTATTCCACACACCTGAATGGATTACCTCATATATTATATTACTAGGTATTGGACTCCTGGTAATGAGATCCTCATTCCCCTCTAGATTTGGGCCACCAAAACATAGCCCGGGGGTTAAAGTGTCCTAGAGGAGTGGTAAATAGGAGACAATACAAGTAAACCAATTTTGTCAACTTATTCAAGGTATACAGTCAACTAAAAGTAGGGTCTTCTTGACCAACTTAATATTTGGTTGACTTGGTTGACAGTGTTCTTTTCTGTTTTTTTATCAATACAGTCTTTATTTTAATTTGGTTCATTCAACCTAAATCAATTTCTCAAAATTTAGGTGAGATTAATAAATCTTCTTTTAAGTTTTTCCTCACCAAGTTACCAATTCATACACTAATATCTAGTAGTTAAATTAAACTTACATGCTTATTCAAGACTAACATAAAACAATCATCCAAGCATTTATGTCATACATTTAACTTACACATTTGGCATAGGCATAGAAAGGATAAAGTGCATGAAATGTAAAGAGAATGAACATAAGGATATATAGTGGTTTGACTAATCAAATGGGTTTCCACTAGGGACAACCAAAACCTTTACAGTAACTCTTTAAAGGGTTTTCACTAGGGAACTCCAAACCTTATCCACATACAAATGGGCTTATGCTCACCCTGAACCACAACCTCCAAACACAACCTAACACTTGCACTAGATTATACAAATCTAAAAACAAGAACTTCAAAAACAGGGGAATCAGATACCCAAAACCCCAAATGTCTCTATGTGAGACTTGTGTGGTGTGTGTAGAACAAAAGTGTAAGATGTAGTAGGAAATTTATTAAACCCACCCCCTCCTTCGTTTCTGGATTGAGCTTAAATTTGAGATTCCCAAGGTGTGTGGAGATCTGATTCCTGCTTAGTTTGGAAAAGTTATTCTAAACTGAGTACAAAGAAATGAACAAGAATTATTTTCTTATTCCACGCTGTGGATTCATCGGACTCATAATCATATTCCCATTCCCCTCAAGATCCTGGTCATCCAAACTGTGGCTAAACTGAAAACAACCAAAAAAAAATTTAAGAAATTTTGAACTTTTTTAAGGGAACTCCTAGCGAAGCCATTTGCCACTTGCGCTATGTTTGGATCATAGATTTAGGTAAAGATTTGGAAATGAAATGGGAAAAGTTAAGTGAAATATAACTAGATTTCACACACTTTTTCCCTTTCTGTTTCCAAATCACTACCCAAAATCCAAGAATCAAAAACTGCCTTGAGCTTTTTCCGGTAACACATTTCTAGGTTTGCCCAGATACACAAATCTATGCTCCCCTCAACATTAGATCACAGCCACATGCACGAACCCTAGATTGAAAGCTATTACAACCAAACCAAACCAAACCAAAACAAAACAAAACAAAAAAACAAATCACAGAACAAATTCAAGTTTTGCAAGTAAAAAAAATAAAAATAAAAAAATCTGCATGAATAGTTGGATCCAAAACATCAAAATGAACCACATGATAGTTGAAGAGTGTTCTTTCAAAAAAATAGTTGAAGAGTGTACCTCTGCTCAGTGCTTTTCACAGGCGACTCTAATGAGCGAGAATGTCAATTTTAGAGCGAGCGAGAGAGAGAGAGAGTTTTGAAAGTACTGGGTTTAGGGTAACTAGAGTTCACAGAAAATAATTCGCTTCACCAGTTAAGTGTTAACGGCGTTTTTTTGGGGGAGTTAATTTTGTAACGGCAAATTTTTTGTACTAAGTATTTTAACGGCGTTTTAAGAGACTAAAAAATGTCGGGAAAATTTTGAACAACACAAGGAAGCGCCAGCAATGTGTCCTAAGTAAGGATTTTACAATTTTTATTTATTTATGTCAAATATGTGAAATAACAAATTTCTTTGTTTTTTTTTTCAAGATATGATTTTTTTTTTTTATTCTTAATTCAATTACATAAATGAATATGACCAAAACATACACTCTATTTGGATCACGGAGCAAGAAAAAAAAAATAAGGTAATATAAATTAATAAAATAATTGTGTTTGCTTATTATCATGATGGTAAAAATAAGGGTTTATTATAATTTTTACTCTTGACCTATTGACAAATTCTTTATTTTAGTCTTTCAATTATCAATTCAGTCTTTTAATTTCTTAAAATATATGAATCAATTGAATTTATTAAATCTCTAAAGTATTTAATTCTAACATATTTAGTCCTTGAAAGAATTATAAAAACAAAATATAAGTTCATAAGTATTATAAATTAGTAACAGATTGTACCCAGTTAAAATTTTATTGAAAAAGCCCTTAAATTTTTTTTTTTTCCTACAATGGTTACTTGCTTGCTTTTATCTAGTTATATATGTTGGATTT